CCGAGCGCCGGGAAGCGGCCCCGCGGAGCCGCCCTTCCCCTCCGGCCGAGCCCGGGCCGGGGCCCTTCCCGCGCTCGGCCTCAGGGCTTGTGAACCTCCTACCCGCTCGATAGAACGCTGCCAGGACGAAACGCACCAGTGACGGGTAACTCTTTTCACTTCTGCTGTCAAGCCATTTTATAAAAAGCAAGCTACATCGCAGGAAAGCCTCACGGTACATGTTCGGGGCCACTGAAAGGCATCATCTGTATTCTGCCAAGTCTCTCTTCTCTTCCAGATATACAGCACGTGCAGAAGTACAAGAAATTTCCATTTCAGTTATCAGAAAGCAAAACTGAAATTCAGTGCCATGGAGCAGTGAGTCTGACAGCCTTGTTCCAAGCACTCACAGTGTAGGAACAGAGGAGAAACAGCATATTTTATCTTGTTCAACAGCAGGTTTTTCTGAAAACTGGACGTTTTGGCAGTCTGTGACCATGGAATTTTATCAGCATCTAACTTTTTATATTCCTGTGCTAACACCCTAAACTCATGATGGATCCAGAATTAATTCTTTTCCTGCTTTTCTTTTGACTACTGAGTTGAAGTTTAATATAATTCAACCACTCTATCTGCAATACACGTACAACTTGACTCAACCCCAGGCCCTGCATCCAGGCACTTTCCAGACTCAAAGAGGGACACAAAAAGCTATGGGAGAACTGACAAGACAACTGGCATCACAGAATTCCTGCATGTTAATAGATACTGACTTCAGTGCTACTTTTCATTATGCAGCGAGTACAGGGAATCACTCTACCCACACACCACTCCTGAAAGAGGTGTCAAGGCAAGAAATACTCCTTAGATTAATGATTACAGAATGAGTATTGCTGTGGTTTAAGAATCTACTAAGGGTCAAGACATCAGTGTAGAAAATCAGTACCTGACATCCACGAATGCTGCACAATATATGAAAAGTCTCCACAACTCTTTGGTCATTGTGGGCTGTGATCACTTCCCACCCAAGCAGCCAGACACAAGACTCCCTTTTTCACATGAAAGGTTATTTACAGGAACATCTACAGTTTTCAAAACAACATTTCTTCATCATTTCATTAAGGAAGGGGATTTTACTGACAGTGTCACGCGCTAAGGTGAAGAACATGTACACTTTGTAACTCCCAAACCAAACCTACATTGTCACAAAACTGACAGAAAAAGAATATATTCTATTGCTAATATTTTAAGTAAATAGTTGTATTTAGCGTCACTCAAAAAAACCCCAAACCAACCAACCCACAAAACCCACATCGTTAGATCCTGCAAGCCACTATTATTCTTACTTTCTTTCTCCCTTTTCTGTTTTCTTCTTTCTCCTTCCAGTATTGATGCTGTATTTCTCCTCCAAATTTTCTTTTCCTTACTTGCTCTTATCTTGGTTCTCCCTATCATTCCCTTTGTTCCTGCTTGAAATTTCTGTATTGCTTTCCCTCATCTCTCTGCCTTGTCTTGGTTCCATTATCCCTGCTTTTGGTTGTCTATAAGACAGCAGAAGTGCTCATCACATGCAAAAGCTAGTAAGGGAAACAGAGAGAAAGTGAAGTTAATTTGTGAAAGAGATCACATTTATTAACATCACATAGATATAGATGTTAACTAGGAATCATCTTATTTCTACAACCACAGAAAACATTTTTTCATCATTTGTTTCATTTGCCAGCCACTACAGGAAGTTAACTTCTAAGATTCCAAATCTGTCATTTTATAATCCCTCTCTTACCACATGAAACATGTGCAAGGTAGAGTTTCAAAGCTACACTTGTGCTATATTTTATCTTGTCAGTTCGTAAATATTCAGTGTTAGAAATTAATGCTATTTTTATTACCTATCACATATAATACAGAACCTTCTGCTGATGCAATGCAGTAAGTTCTCTACTTAAGTGTGCGGAATACATATGAACGTAATTTTAAGACACCAAGTATTTTTAAAGCCAGACACAATATGGCACTTATTTGAAAAAAGGACCAGTTCAATAGGCCCTTTCTTAGAAAACAGTAAACTGAAAGGAAGACCTGCCCCCTCTCCCTGCTCTGCTATGATGCATTTATTTCCAGACCTGTAACATCATGGAATTGGATTTAGTATTTTTACTTTAATGCTCATAGAGAACAAGCTTTTAGAGAATGCCTGAATTTTGCAAAAAATTATTTTCTGTTTTTCCTCTTATGCCTGTGCCTACATAAAATTACAGTTACACAAATAACACATGTACCCATAGCTTAACATAAAATTTTGGGTTGCATTTCCCGATTCAAAGCTATTAAAAAGTTTCCATAAACTTTTATTAAAGAGGACACTATGGAATGTGGAATGCAAGTATGAACTGCATAGGCTTGCAATACAGGTGAATTATTTCTTCACCTACAGGTGAAAATTTCTTCTCATCACAACCACGTATGTAACTTTCTAGAGTTAACATGCAAATAAAACTGAATATAAAATATAAAAAGATAACGAGTGAATGACATAAAGTGTACTTTATATATTATATGAAATGGTACATTGATATAAATAAATATATATTTTAATCTTAACATTTTATATAGATAGTCAAGGACTATAAGGTAAAACTTGTTCAGTGGGTTTCTCCTCTTTGTATTCTCTTACCATTCCTCATCGATGAGCAGGTTAGGCACCTCTTAAGCCAAGAAGAGACTGGGTCTACATCATGTAACAAGGAAGGACTCCTGAGCATTTTTTATACTTTAATATCTACTCTTTGCTAAATAAAACTCATTTTTACTTTCAATTCTAGAAGCTACTTGAAAACTCATTTGTTTTCTTCTGAATGAAACTTTAAGAAGCTTGGTTTAAAAAAAAAAAAAAGTTAATAAAAATTATGCCAAGCCAACACCGAAGAAGTACAACTTAATATCCAATATAAAAAAAGTAACTGCTACCAGAGTGTTTACTGACCAAGCCCTCCTATTTATCATCAATATGCTAATGTATACTGACAGTATACAATATATAGTATCAATAGGCTAGCTGCCTGTTAGACTTAGTCTACAATGAAAAGCATTGTTGGTGAAGTTACATATATAAGCACACCTGCATTCTGCTCAAATCAAAAGCAGCTGTAATAAAAAATCTTTTTTGCAGCATATCTGCTGAGGGAACTAGCGTACCCTGTTGTGAGGAACTGCACTGTGGACTTGTCTCAAAGATTGTTTGCACAAGACCACCAGGTATCAACACCTGTATCAGCAAAAACCCTTTTCCTTTCTGCAGAAGGATGTACAGTGGAACTATACCAGAAATCAAGCAAGGCACACCAAGGCCTTAATTTTTTTTTTCCTGGAGAAGAGACTGTATTAGGAATATTAAAAGTTTGCAAGTGGCCTACTTTAGGAGGGAAGAGAATGCCGTGAATTCAGTGACAAGAAATTTCAATACAACTCATCCAAGTTATACTATTATATATAATAAACAGGTTAACCAAACTCTTCATGTTAGGCATCTGCTCCACTGGAGAAAAAATTCTGTATTTAGGACAATTTTCACTCATGTCTTTTTCAGAAGAACAAGGTCAACTTGAAAAAAAAAAATCAATTAATAAAGACATATCCTTTTCATAAGCAAAAGCAGTCACGGTGGGGTGTTTAATTTAATCCAGTCTTAAGAGCAAGTGGCTGCTACACAACATTTAGATTCAAATGTGATAAAGCGTACTTTTACAACTGTGCCTGCTGCAACAAGTGTGAATCATGTTTCAGCTTCCACAAAACATCTACCAAAATCCCACATTTTTTTAACTGTGTGGTAGATTACTGTAAAGCTCTGCCACATGTAGACTCACTTTTGCATCAGCAGAAAACATAGCCCAAAACATGACAGACTGTCTCATTTAGTAATATATAACCCTTGTGTGCTATGGACAGTACTGACAAGAGTTCTGGGTGAATCACAATCTCTAATGCAGCAGGCAGATGGAATCAAAATTATTTAAAAGACCATCTCTCTCTCTGATTTTGCTAGTCTGTGGAGGCACACAAGCCAGAACTTGTTAAGGAAGAACCTGGCGTTACTGGGTAGGCATTCTTTCCTGACACATTTTCCATTATTAGGTGCTGGGGAAAGCACCCAGTGATTTTTCAGTGGTCTGCGCTGTCTTTTATCTGTTTTAAGAATCAGCAGAACAACCTAAATCAGTGCATTGCTAATAAGTATGCTAAAAAAACAACCAATGAAACAATAAAAATACAAAACCTGTTGGAAAACCCCACAGCTATACAGTTTAGAGCTCTTTGCACCCTGTTTACCTGTTGTACTTGGTTGTAAGATCTGTTGCAGTACTATATGATAGCTGCCATTCTCATCCAAGCTTTCAGAGCCTTCTATAGTAAAATATAAAATCTAGTGCCTTAACACACCAAAATGCTTCTAAATCCCCGGGTTTAGAAGCAACAGACACTTTAGATACACATGCAATAACAATGCATAAAGTAAAAGTATGTGTGAAACTGGATCATGTAAGTGTTGCTTGTTAGCCACTTCAGACATGTCTTTTCCATCAGCAGTCAAGCGGGAGAAAGAAAAAGCTTCTTCCTCAGTGTGTGCTGGAGCAGAAGCGAGTATTGCTGGCTTGGGTCAGCAGTCTTATTCCACTCATAGACTTTTCTGTTCAGTTCCGTATGGATATCTAATATAGAAAGTTTCCTGCAGCAACAAAAGTAAAAGCTTTCTATTAGAAAATGAAGCAAGACACCATTTCAGAATCCACACCAGAGAAAACAACTTTAGACTCAGCAAGGAGAAAGTTTCAAATTTCAGTCTTTATTGCAGAGGTTACACCTCTAAAACCCAAGGCTGAATATGCATTGTGGAGACAATCTCTTGTAACCCAAATCACTGTTGTGATACTGGTTATGCTGACATGATGATCTGTGATTTCATTACAAGGTTTTAGGGTTCATAAAAATGTGCTGCATGTTAACCCTGCAACTACCTTGAAAGACAGCTGCTAGCTCCCTGGTAGGTCAGTTGTACAGAGAAAACCTTTGTTGCTAAGTTATATATCCAAACATATCTGATTTTCGCTCAGATTCCTTTTGATAATCTCTTTAGGTAGACTAAAGTTTTTTGATAGTTTAATTTCAAGATTACAAATTGGCAATCTAATGGCTCCCTGAGTGGAGGGCTAGTTAAATCTAAAAAAAAGGACAAAAGCCTTCCCCCTCAACTGCCTTTTTCCCGAATTAGGCACTGACTTTTTATATTGGCAAGCAGAGCCCTTCTTTATGATATAAGGCAATACTCAATTTGACAGAAGCCTGGTGTGTGCCTTGGTATCTTGGAGAAGGAAAATTTCCAATTCTATCTATCATACACGACCCAGGACGGGTTCTTCCCTTCTCAGTCTGCAAGCCCCAGTGCCCTAACATACAATTTTACTCTCCAGAATCAGACTCTTCACTCCTACTTTAGACTACCTTCCTATGCCATCATTCCAGCATCACTTATCTTTTAACCTATGACACAGCATGAAGACACTTTTCAGGACCAGACAGCATGAAACATAAGGGTTTTTTTCTCTAAGACAGGAGGCTGTCATAGGAAAAGGGTTATTTTTTTTTTCCTCCTTTTTTTTTTTTTTTTTTTTTAATTTACCTTTTATGAGGATTGCGGAGTAACTCAGCCAGACAATGCAGATAATATGAGGATGCAGATGGAGATTTTTCTAGTGTAGACACATCTACCTTGCACTGACTCCAAAAGATGTCTGCTACTTGGGGGATAGTGACTTTCCAAGGGATTTTTGTGTTAGCAATGTTTTTCTCATCATTCCCATCTACTTCCAGTAGACTAGTACATTCTTGCTCATTTTCTGGCACAATGTAGCTCTGAATAAAAAAAAGCTTTGGTTTTCCTAGGAGTTCAGGACATGAGTCTGCTGTAAAGTATTTCTTTACTTGTTCCAAAGGGAATCCAGAAAAGGTATGGTCTGTACAGAAGATGCTCTGAGGATCTCCACGGCTGACCAATATGCAAATGAAGCTGTCACAATTTCTGTGCTTCTGCAACCTTGCAACTTCAAGTAATGTTTGATTCATGGTGTTCATATTTAAATATCTGTGACAGCAAACGTCATAGCCTAAGCATCTGAACGTGTCTTCCAACAAATCTGAAAAAAACAAGATGTAATTAAATCACAGCACGTGAAGGCTCAGTCTCAACTTTCTTGAATTACAGTATTTCACTACTGTAAAAAAGGTGTTTATTTCATCACAATAATAAAAAACCAGGAGTATTTGATGTTGATCACATTACATTACATACTTCTAGAGCTATATGCATGCTGTCTTTAATACGAGTTATGTACTTCATGATAGCAAAGACATTATTTGGCAAGTGATCTGTTCCAAACTCCACAGACACTTGCATGCTTTCATTTAGAGCCAGTATCCCAAGTTCCTAGGACTTAAAATATCAGGCAAGAGAAAACATTAGAAAAGGCTTCACACAGAATATTCTTGAAATGGTAAGGAGTGATCTGGATAGCATGGGAAGTGTTTTACCTTTTAACTTGTCAAAATTACTCTGGTTATTATAGATACTTAATAGGAAACACATAGGCTCCCTTTCATCAGTCAAAAAGGAACCGGCTGCAGTCATTTATGCTTCCTATTATATAAAATGGACTTTAAGTGATGAGTTCCTGGCAGAGAATGGACACTGGAGTCTTAACTGTGATAGACTGGCATTTTCAGGGACAAAAAAAGTGCTGAACAATGAACCCTTTCAAATGTGTTAGAAATTAAAACTACAGATAGCAAAAAATCAAGGTTTAACTCTACTGTATTTGTGTTAACCTGTGCTGCAGGAAAATGTGCTATGCTCTGAATAACTACTTTGGATGTTTATTAACACGGGAGTGAAACCAGATACATGGTGGTTAAAACCACGGGTATTTTGTAAATGTTCAGAGAACCACAAGCTACTAATATGACTCATACCTGTAGCATTGTAGCTTTAGTATAAACCACATATATATTGCCCATGCACAATTTCTGATATGACAGGAAATATCAAGTGCCATGTTTATGTAAAATGCCTTACAGACACAGGAAGCTAGACTGTTCCTTGACTTCAAAAGTTTAACAATCCCTAATTAGCAGAGGCTATTTCAGAGGCAACTGGCAGCAAAGCAGGAGTTGTACTACCACACTATTCTCCTCAAAAAGCCCATAATGGAAACAGGGAATAGAACTCGTAACTTTCCTCAGCAAAATACAGGGTAGATACAAACTTTGTACTATAGCAAGGTGATGAACAGCAACTATAGAGCTTCATTCCAGTTCTGTTAGTTTGATTACATTTTGTAAAATAACTGAAAACTTTTCAGACATTTTTTAATTTGTAAATAGAAAGGAAAATCCCTTCTATTTTAGGCAATAAAACACACTCGCAAAATACAGGTGGAAGATTCAGTATTAATACCGTTTAGCAGTTATATACTCGATGAAGCACTTCACCCATTAGAGTACAGTGGTACATACGCAAAACCACAGCAACAACAGTGCTTTTTCTGTAATTAATTTATCTCACTAACATACACACAAAGATACAAAATTTGGCATCACTTCAGACCACACACACACTCTTAAAAAAATTAAACTCAACAAACTTAGAGCTGATACCTTAGTTTAACAATGAATCAGAAATTACACGTGGTAAGCTCCGGATATAACAATTTAAGGCAAGACAAAACACAGCATTACATGCTGCAACCTGAGATCAGAAAACATTTGTTTCTTCAACAGTAATCATCTCCCAACAACCTCCATTGACTTTTGAGCATTTCCATTCTACATAAAAAAATTAACCTTTTCTCCCTTTGATTGTTTATAACATAAGGATAAAAATTGGCTTCCAAATGGAAAAGTCAAAAGCAGCTATTTACAAAACAGCAAGGTGCCTTTCAGTTTTAATTTTATCAGCATCTGATGAATTCACATTGTTTACACTAGGCATTTTCAATTGTAATCCTTGATCTTACAGTATCTGTTACTGGTTCAGCTTCCTCTGGGATAGATACAGACTCTAACGCAGATACAATTCCTAACGTTCTCCCTGCCCTCTTCTTTTTCTTTGGTATTTTCAGACTTCAGAAATAGTGTGGCACAACAACTCTACAGAGCAGTGAATGCCTTTCTAATAAACTCCTTTAAGCAATGCTACTCTGTCCTGCCTCTCCTGAATCTCAGCAGCACAGTAATGTATTTCAGTGAAAAGTCATGGTTTCTGTCATGTTAAAATGCTGATGATGCAGTGATGACATTAAACATCTGAGGCACACACATGGTTGCTTCTGCCTCCAATGCAGACATGCATGGAGACTGAGGCAGACTAAGACTTGGTTTGGGTGGTTTTGGCACAACAGCAGCAGAGCCATGATTTGCAGGTTCATCTGACAGGCCAGATGCTAAATATGTAACCCATTTTTGTTCTTTCCAGTCAGCAGACTTCCTCTATTACATTTATACTTTCTGTCCTTGTACAAGTACTGAAATGATCACATGAGCTCATGACAAGCACATACATTGTGGGTTTTTGGGTTTTTTTTTTTAGTTTGTGCACATCTTTGTATATAGTAGCAATTACTATGACAAAGGGGACTGCACAGTATATTGCCTGTGCAAAAGATCTGTGCCTTCTAAGGAAGAGTAGATTTTAATCCATATATCTGTGACTATGAACTGACATACCAGTTCCTTCCTTGCTTCTTATTTTCTCCAGTGTATGTTTTACTTGCTTTTATATATACTGTTTCATTTAAAAAAACCTCAGACTTGGCATATAAAACACTCTTGTTCAATAAATCAGGTCAGCACATGCTCATATCCCATTAGACACAATGAAATTTAAAGAGCTTTTTTTTTTCTAAGCAAGGCTATTTTCACACTTTGTGTTTTCTTTAGCTCTACACACTGAAATTCTCTAGCAATCCTTTCTGCATTTGCTTTTAAGAAACAGAACTCCAAGTAATAAGTAATTACTTTGGTACTGGAGCAGATTATTGTGCTACCTTCCAGATTAAGCCTGCATAATAAGTTTCTTCTTGCATTAAAAGGTTCGTTTGTTCTCTAAAGCTATCATAAAAGACAGAAAAACAGGAAAGTAAAGAAGCAGGCAACAGGACAGAGCAGAATGTTTGATCCCAAGAGCCACAGCCCCCCTTGCCCCCCCCAGCCTTTCAGTTCTTGGCAGGCTGTCTTTTGTTTATTTTCCTCGTAGGGCAAAGTCAGTATTTTTTTTTCTTTTTCTTTTTTTTTTTTGACAGTAGCAGTGAAGAAGTGCTTTAGATTGAACAATTTAATTTCTACATCCAGCAACTGCATTCTTGTGCTTGTTTTCTGTTTGTTTGTTGGTTTTTTGTTAATCCAGAGGTCACTGATGAACTTGGTAGGGCAGACCAAAATCAGATCCCAAGGACGATTCCCAGTTGCATGTAACTGAGTTAAGTGGTTTCCTTATCCCTCTTCTCCATGCATGGCAGGACTGTGAATCAGTTCTAGTTCCTGTTACCCTAACAGCAAACTAAGCCTCTTGTATTGTACCATATACCTGAAATACTACTGTCAAGCAAACACCAAAATTTTACTTTCTGTGTTTGTGCTCTGCACCCACTGCTCTTCAACAACTATATCAATAATTCTAAGTTGGTCCATCTGCTGGACAATTAGTTATAAGAAAGAGAGAAGACAGGCCCACAAACCCTCTTCTTCCCCTGTATCTCCTAGCCTATTACAGAACTGACGGCAAGTACTCTCTTCATTTTTATTTTCAGCCTTGTGTTACAATGATTTGAGAATGGGTTGGGTTTTTTTTTTTGCTTGTGCAAGAATCTAATTCTTTGATTCTACAAGGACAATCAGGAAAAACTCACATTTTAACCATGGCACTGACTACCTTGAATTCTATGTGCAATTTTTTTTTTTTTTTTAATTAAATGAGGAGGGAAAGAAGAAAATGCCTTTCCCTATAAAGCTATAGTGATAGTTTCAGTTAAACTGTGCAAGATGTAACAGAAGCCTAGGTGCATTACTAACAAAGGACCACGTGCTTTCAGCTATTCAAAATCTGTAGTGTCTGATACACTTACACTTCAAATCTGCGACAGCTTTGGTTTTGGTTTTGTTAACTAGTGGGAAATACTATCTTTACCATCTCTGCTCTACGACTATAGCTTAACTATTCTGCTGATCTCTGAACTTCCTTTTTCTCTCTCCCAAAATTCAGTCGATCCCCTTACAAGTTCTTTCATTCAGAAATTCTGCGCCAAGAAACAAACACTGTTTGCAATAATTAGGACAGTTGGTTTTAACCTTAGGCTGGGCCTTCCAACTCTTTGCCTTAGAATATTTACTAGAATTGATAGACTAGCTGACTAGGACAACATTACCCTAGTCTGGCTGGTAAATACACATCATACTCTTTATATTAAGCTCTTATTATCCAAAATTAAGAAAATAAGGAACTTCAGATTCCAGAGACTTACCTGTGTCATTGCCAATACAGTCTATTATCAGGCATATTCCTAAGGGTTGACTTTGCATTCTGTACTGATCATCAAACACCTGTGGAAAGTGAAGGACAAATAGTAAGTTAGTATGTCCCTCTCCCTTATCCCCTGGCGGGGACCGGGGGGATGTGTGTGTTTGGCTGCTAGCCAAGTGAAATCACCACAATCCTTTTTGGCATCCAATGTGCACAAGGGGTGCAATGATCCTTTTATAGTACTTCTGAATTAATTTCCTAAAGTGTAACTTCTACTGAGATTTTGGAAGCTATAAGCTTCTTATTGCCCACACAATAAACACAGAAAACTTTTGAGTTCTTCAGGTAAAGTACTGCTCATCAAAACAACATTCCTTATTTGGTGGAACAACTTCCTTGTTTCTAAATAATCTGTAATGACTCTATCACAATTCCTCTCTTTAAAAAGTTTACAGTCAATTTCCTATAGGTAACTCCCTCATTCCTGGCTGTGGTGGTCTGGCCTATAGAAGAGCTAGTGAAAATAGCAGTAGTCCATTCTTATCATTAATACCCAAAGCATGTCTGTCTGCTACCTGGAGAGCAAGTGGCAGGGAGAGAACAAGCAAAAGTTATTGCATGCAGAGAAGCCCTGAAATGTCTAATGCAGATGGCAACAAGTCTGACTTCCAACAGATTTTTACTTAGCCTCCACTAATAAATATACAAGTCTTGTGTGCACATCATATGTACATGCATTTTGCACACTGCTGCTTCTAGAGTAGTAGCAAATATTTTATATTAAAAATATATTCTGCAAAAGTAATTCATAGAACCTGTTCATGGCTGAGGAAGACACTGATGTACACGTTATTCTGCATGCAATTAAAGGAAATCTCAAAATGAAACACAGAGAAAACTAAGGTAATGACCTGTAGAGCTTTTGATTATATTTACATGCATACATATGCACAAGCACATACCTTATGTGACACTGGTCCCGATTCCTGAATGGACATGTGGACTGGTTCTGCTGCAGTTAAAACATACAGAAGTAATCTCAGTATGTAGGTACCAGTGATATGTCTTTGACACCAAAACAGTTAAAGAGGAACCTATGTAGTTCAGCCAAGTTCTTGCTCTGGACCTCTTAGTTTCTATGTATGTTACTAAAGTTAAAAAAACCCAAAAATTTTCACCTCTAAAATGTTAACTGGATGGCATTCTACATTTATTGTGATTAGAATAAAACAACCAAATAATCAATCAATCTCTTCTACACTGAGAGAATTCCACCAACCACTCATTTAAAAATCACCATATTTGAGAGGTGTCTTGGGTTTCCAGAAAGAATGCAACACACATGGTAAGAACCTGGTACTCCTGGACAACTTCTTGGCTGGTTGAACTGACACAAAAACTTCCTACTCAGGACTTAATGGGCACAGCTGCACTACACAGGCCTCCAGAGCTGGCTAGTCAACCTTTTCCATTATTTTATTCATAAACTATTCTGGTAAAAAGTTGTGAGAGTGGAAGCCCACAACAATTTCAAGAAAGTTTTAAGATCTGTCAGCACAAGCAAAGCAAGGAATAAGGACAGGCTCAGTTTTCAGAGGTACCAAACTCTCTCTGCTCCTGGTGTTATCAGCTGGATTAGCTATAAACACAACTATGAAACAACAGTCCTTTTGATACAATTACATTCATCATTTGGCTCTTTTATATTATCAAAACTCAGATAAAATGCTCTTACCCAGAATAAGACTTTGTCCATTTTGTGATTTTCCTTTGTTCACATTCTGGATCTAAAATGAAGAAAAAACTGCATTTTCCCTCTCTCCTTCAAAAATTAATAATCATATGTTCCAAAATATAACACAATAGTATTTTTTTAAAATAAAAATATTACATATTTTAGATTCACATCTATCAGCTAATTAGAATTACAAAATAACATGTAAAAAAACCCCTACCAAAACCACAAATAAACAAAAAACACCCATCTGTTCCTCCTCAGAAAAAAATTATCAGCTTGCCATGAACAGCAAAGAAAAGCTTTTGTCCTGAAGTAGTGAAGCAAACAAAAACCTCTGAAGATGTGATTTTTGCTTCCTATAGAGCAGCAGGCAGGAACTTTAACTGAATTAGAAAGGAAATTATAACAATATGATCACAATATGGAAAGTCAATGCAAGCTCTTTCCCATTGGCAGTCTAGGAAAGAAAGCTGTTGTTGCTTTGTTAATAAAGACAAACTGCATCACTGGTGTCTTCTATGTAAGCTTTATTCATACATATTTACTGAACCCATGACAGAAATAATCTCATCAAATTCATTTAGCAAGGCTAAAGACTTTAAGTAAGGTCATACTATTACAATATCAGACCTACTCCAAATATAAAGAATATTGCATGCGATAGGATTTGATGACTTTTCACATATCTTTGTTAAAATGAGATTAAAACAAAACAAAAATCTGAAAAACTCTACTTAAAAGGCCATAACTTTCAGCTTCCAAAGCTAAGGAGCTACTTTCCCTGCAAAGTCCGGAAGTACAAAGAAGAATATATTTTTCAAAGAACAGTCAAAGCAAAACTTTTCACTCCCCAGAGCAGCAGAAAAAACTTTCAAGATACAGATTTTATATGTCCAACTAATAGGAAGAAATTCACAGAAGCTCTCTAAAGGGAATCTTTCTGAGTCAGAATATTTAAATCAGACCCTAAACCCAGCAAATAACAGGAATAAGAGAAATATACCAAGTAATATTTTAGTTACTAGCAATCTCTCATTCCTTAGGCTCTCGAAAGATGAATCCCCTTTCCATGTCTGGCAATATTCAGAAATAAAGGATCTGTCTGATTTATTGTATACTTACCCCTGAACTATAAGGAGGATCAATCAGATTGAGATTAGGGAGAGATGCCTGACGTGCATTTATATATACTGGCTGAGAATGAACGGAGGACATTAAAGCTGAAAATTTAACAGAAACACACAGAGAAATACATCATGATACATCAACTGTTTTAAAAGCCTAAATCCATTAAGCATGCAAATACTCTCACTTGTAACTCATAATTTTATCTTCAGTAAGAGCACAGTTGATCCTTGCTATCAATAGTAACCAGTGCAAAAATAGCACCTTACCTTCGTGTTTGTACTTCTGAATCTTCCTAACCAGGTCTATCCTGTGAATATTTCGAAAACAATTTTCTATCAAATCCAGTTGATTAGGAGCCACCAAATTTAGTTTCTCCAAGTCAATCACAAGAGCTAGAAAACTCTAGAATAGCAACAGAAAACCAAGCTGTCATATCAGTAATTTGTTCTTTATCAGTAAGTAACAAAGCAACCCAGAAGATAACATGGGGAGGTCATAAAGGTTGTATATTCAAGAACTAGGGACATTACCTTCTGAAACACTAAGAAAATTACCTGGAAGCTAGAAGAATTCTCGGTATTATGATAGCAGTAATGGAAACTAGAAAGTGATATTCTTAAATACAAATCAAAGTTTTTGATGAAACAGTTTTGCTTTTCCTTGTTGCTACAAAGCCAGCCACTTGGAATGTCAACTCACATGCCACAAAGCAAGAGATAAGAAAAGCTTTGGGGAATTTGCAGGGCCTCTATCCTTCTTTGGTTAAAGAAAAAAAAAGAAAAAACCTCAAAGTAAAAAGACAGAACTCTTCAGTTTTCTACGCACAGTGGTCAAGTTTCCTGAACCCTCTCTACTGAATCTCTGCTTTCTCAGAGCACTTAAATATTCAGGCTGCAAATGCACAAAGGAAGACATAATTAAACTGTTATTTTGTAAGTGAAGCAGAGGACAAACAGAAAAAGCGACCACGTAATTCCAGATACATTTCATATGATTATTGGTTTGAGATCCTTCATATAGGAACTTTCTGATCAGTAATAAGAAAGATGTTTTTTAATGCCTGTGAGGTTCATGCTAACACCATTCTCTACAGCAAGTCTTCTCTGTTCCCTCTTACTGTTTCTCATGCTTCTTTCCTTGAATTAAAAACCAAAAAATTAAATAGAAGCCACTACTCCCTTCTCTACTTCCTGACTTCTATCTACTCCTGCCTCACTACCCCTTGCAGTACCCTCTTTTGCTGTCTAGCTACTTCCCTTTTTACTTTAATCTATCATTGCTCCAGAGGAGACTAGCAGAAAGACATACCTTATCTTTTGCCATTTTCATACGGGGTGCGTAATCTCTGAGTAGAAAGACAAGAGAATTCACTTCTTCTTTTTCCAGATTCTCATTAATCTCTACCATCAGTACCCTGAAATAAAGTTGAAACGTTCCTAAAGGACTAGCTCTTGCCAAGCGCCCACCCTTGCCCAACTACCCAACTTCTCCCATGTTCCAGTACCATTCCCAATTAAATAACAGGAAAAAGCCTACCCTGCTCCAAGATCCAATCACAAAATATCTACTCTTGCTAACCAGCACCTGCACTACTCAGACAGACTGTGCAATAGCCACTGCTAGGAAAACAGAAGTCTCCTTAATATTTCAGAGATGAAGAATAGAAATTAAGAGAATGAGACAACAGAACACATCTTAACTTTTTTACCCAGCAGCTACACAGTTTTTATTTCAGTAATAAGTTAACACAGGAAAATCTTCCTTATGAGTACATATATTTATTTCTGAAGTGTCTCAAAGAAAATAACTGGAGCTTCTTAATTTAAGCCTCTTAAAACTACAGAATAAAAAGTAGTAAGACACAGGTCCCCTGTGAAAAGCTATACTACAAGGCTATGTGCCCAAAGCAAACTAGAAAAAGAAAGTATCTCTAACTAATGATGTTCCTCTGAAGTACCATTTCTATCTGCTAATCTAGAACTGTACAAACATCACCGGTTTTATTGAGTAATGCACAAAAGAAGCTACTAAGGCTTATTTTAGGGACTAAACATATTTTTTCATTATAACCCTAAAGATATAATGCCCTTTTCTGCTTTTCTTTTACCTTCAAGACCTATTTAAAGAAGAAAGAAAAAACAATTCCCCCCAAAAAACCCCAAAACAACCCATACACATTTTTAACAAAATAGAGTAGCCTTGAAATTTGAAATAGATATATTACCTGTAATCAGGGACAAGTCTGAGACTCCTGGCAAGGTTAGCTTCTGCTGTTGCTTTCTCAGTCTTCAAGACCCTCCTCAGCAAGTCAAACCTCTTAACTCTGTACAACAGCTCGGACAAGCCAAGAAAAGACAGTTTCTCCCTCTCATTCAAAGCCACCAAGAGCTCTCTAAGGCTGGCAGTGGCCAAGTCAGGAGCAAGGTCTCGGCATAGGAAAATCATAATATCTTCTTCTTCTTTATCCAATTCTTGTTCAATCTGGTGAATAAGGACAGCTGGCACTTGGCACCTGGTCATCACTTTGTTGTTGTCCCTTTAAAATTGCCAGCCTACTGGTTTTTTTTTAAACAGGAAGCCAACATGACATGAAGCTCATGTTTACCATAGTACTCCTCTGGTGTTCATTCTTAATTAGATGCATTTTTACATAAGCAGTTCTGTGAGAGAGAATTAAAGGGTACTAAATCAGTGATCTGCTGCACAAGTTCACAGTTAACTCTCCTGTCTGATCTATTTCACTTAAAACTAAAGCACCAACAAAGTCTACCCACACCTCCTGTTCTCAAGGGGCTCTCCCAGCTGTTCATTACTGAACAAGAAGTACTTGGTAGATCACACTAATCAGAAAAAAACTTAAGTTCTTTTTAAAGTAAAATTACCTTAAGACAAGTCTGTAAATTCCATAGGAAGTGAAACAAAAGTCACCAGCTTGCTGATGAGTGATATTTAATGTGTTTCTGGAAACAAGAGTTAAGTTCCACAGCAATTTAAGCTTAAATCTCTGACCTCTTCCCAGCAACCCTCCACTCCTCTGCTCACCACCACTTTTTCTCCCCTAGAAGTTTCAAGGCATTTTTCAGGAAGAGTTTGGGAGCTAAGAGGTAGTGTAGCCACACATTGTAGACAAAAGAATAAAAAAATCCTCACATATAAAGCCACTGCTATCAGGCATGCACTTTGCCTTAAATGAATTCAAAATAAAGGAAATAGTCACAATATAATGTAGAATATTTAAAAACATTAGTTATCTATAAATTCAGGAATGAATGGGTTTCCTCATCTATTAGCATAATTTAAAGTGATTCCAATCTGAATTAGTTACTGGGATTTTAAGGATTCCCCACATACCCCCTCCATGCTCAGAAAGATTGAATAACCACACAAAGAAAAAATTCTAACCTTAAGTATGCAAATTGGTTAACTCGAGATATAGACATGTCATGGGTTGCCTTTTTCTTCATGTGACATTCATGTTTCACCATACTGAAAACTGAAATAAAAATTCAAACCTAGAAAAAATGACACCCTTGTGATTAACAAAATAAGTAGAGTGCTATGCTCAATTTCTGCTGCCACCAACCATGGAAATTCTACCTAACCACCTTCTACCTTGCTTAGCCCATCACAGCCTCCTATGTGCATTCTATACAGACTGTGCTAAATACCTGAAGAAAATGCACAATTATAGTGCTCCCGATACAGCACACAAGCAGAAAAAGCAACACCTATTCTCTCTGATACAGTTCTGTCCTCAGAACCCAAAAGGGACAGGCACAAAACACAGTGTTTTCCGCTCATCACATCACATCATTTAGGAACTTGTGAGAATTAAATGTACTGCTTGCTCGAGGAAGTACAACAACATTTAACCCTAATGTAAACAGTGCAAACAGCAAAAAACCTCACAAAAAGAAATGAAACATCAGTAGAAGCTGCCTCTTTCAAATACACAGGGCCATAGTATTTTTAATATAGCAAGCTGAAAAGTTTTGTTTCCAACAAAACCAAACTAGGTAGACAAAATATTTGTACTTTTGAACCTGTTCTATTTCACACAAGGACTTGCAATGCTATCCCTTGTACAGCTGAAGTGGAAGGGCAGGGTGGGAAAATTTTCAGGCCTCTGATAAGCAGAGGATCCCCTCATGCACTGTAATGTGTTTTGTACAGCTTTCTATCAGAGGAAAAGCTTATTTATTGCTAACTTCTTATTTTCGATCTAGCATCAAACATTTGTGAGAACTCTACAGAAAGACAAAGACAGTTTTCATGACATAATGCAGTCAAGAAGGGGGAGGTACAAAACACTCTCTCATATGAAAGCATCTCCCAGGTACATACTGCTGGGACTTTCAAAAGAACTTGAGGAAGACATATTTATGAGTCACTCTAAAGGGAGGTGGGAATGTAACAACTTTTTGCCATTTTCAGAAACCTTAGATAAACTTTTTTTTTTTTTTAAAGAAACGACTCTGATTTTTATATAATCTTTTAAAACTAGATTAAAAAAAGAGATGTACATGGTAGGGAAGAATTTTGTATAGAGTTAAAATTTCAGACATGTAAACTATTACTATTTATATGTTATCTTAAAAATAATCTGCTTTTAAAAAATACATATTAATTACTTATTTTTGTCAACTTCCTTAATATAAGATAAATCGTATGCTCATTATAAAAAAATGCTGATCAATACTTCCAGTGCTGAAACACTCTTACCTTTATGCAATTTTGTCCACAAGAACATTGGAAGACTGGCATCTGATTGTTGCCAAATCACTGATCCAGATCCAGCACACATTGGTTTTCATCCAGTATTTTCCAATGATGTTCCACAGACAAACCTGATTACATCAGCTCATTTTCTGTTAGACAAATATAAACATCACAAATTACTGCTTGGGGCTACTTCCTAATTTAAAGGGGGGGGAACCAAGGAAAAATGACCTAAGATCATGCATTCTTGTGTATAATTCCACTGGTCCAGTAAGCCAGGAATGATGGTCCAAATAAAAGGAAAAACAACTGCACACATATAGTGGTTTGTCAATAAGATTCACTCACCCCAGGGTTCTGAGTGGGGAATGAGTAAGAACAACATGAAGGAAGTGCTTAGTACAAACTACAACAGTTTATAAGTTTGCATCCATGCAAAACGATATCACTTTTTAGGAATGTCACACTACTGAGGCAAGCCCGATACATTCCACCTGCACACATCTAAGCTAGATCCACTTCACCATGAAAGGTGGAGGGCACCACGCTTCACCCTTCCACCTGATATGACCACTTTTGCAAACATCACACATACAGTTATCATGGCTGCAACAAATAAAGAGAAAAGCAATTACAATGCAAAACCCAGCAGTGTGGCTTTCAATTGAGATTACCTGGGCCCTGCAACAAGAAGAGTTATTGAATGGAAATTCTTTATAAAGAGGAGAGAAACCAACAGCTTAACCTCTCAAGAGGAAAGAAAAAAGTTCATACTCATGAGAAATAAAGCTTCCCCAACAGTTTGTGTTCACGTGCACGTGTAATTTGCCAGTATTCCTGCAAGAAAACACTCAAGGTTTTCCTCTTCAGTTCAATGTTTCATGTATTGAATAAAGATTTCAATGCAAAGCTTATGGAGCAGCAAAATGGTTGGAAAAAGAAACCTAAAGTACTACAGATTCTCATTTACATTCCAACGTTCCTGATTTATAAGAAATCCAAAATAATTCCAAATGGCTGAAGGCTAACACGACTACCACCACTGACATGTAAAAGGATACTGCAAGATCACGTCAGTAACATTAGGGGCAGAGTGAGTGAAAGAGGCAGGCCTACACATGGAACAACAGCAACAACAACAGAATCTCTTTCTTCCTGTATTCAAAGAACCGGGAAAATCCCTGGCAGCTGAGCGAAAACACTGGTGAGGGGTGAGTTTTTCTGTAAACCTGGCTATTTTAGTTCACTATTACCCCAAATTTTCACAGAGGAAGAGCTCTTCTGGGAAATAGTCTTGGGGTCTCTGGTAAGAAAATCACAGATTCTAGGGTGACTCATCTGTCCTCTTGTCCCCAGAAGAGGTCTGAGAGAAAATACATCTCAATGAGGTAGTACCAAAGTGCACTTAAGTACGAGTTTCTGGGCTTAGTTAACTTCCAGACTTTTCTGAACAACGTGTAGGATTTTAAAGCTGATGAAATTCTCACATACTGCACAAGAAACTACCTTTGTCTCACGCATATTTGTCTAAGTCTGCACTGACTTTTGACCCTGGGTATTACACTGTAAACAAGGTTCACAAGAAGTAATTTTTTTTAAGGTAAACATCTGATAATATGAGCAAGCATATTTGCTCATCAGACCACAAATAATTTCCATTCCGCACTAAAACAGGCAGAAAAACATCTGTATGTTCATCAGCTTCTATGAAGCTAATAAAGGTAATTATCCTCCTATTTTTTAACGATTTCACACTGCCCCCAGTCCATACAGAATACAACCAAAATAATTTCCATTCCGCACTAAAACAGGCAGAAAAACATCTGTATGTTCATCAGCTTCTATGAAGCTAATAAAGGTAATTATCCTCCTATTTTTTAACGATTTCACACTGCCCCCAGTCCATACAGAATACAACCAAAATCAGGTACAGATTATTTCCCCCCTCCCCCGCCCAAGGAGCAGGAAATAAAAACATATTAAAACTTCACACACAAAGACACACAAGGCTCCAGTAACTCCCTGCTGGCATTAACAAGTGGAGACTACTATGCACGTACAAGGCTCAAGAATTTTACTCTTTGCTGTTTTAACATCATGCATGAAAGCCTTGTTTTGATTGCAGTACAAATACTGCAGAATACACAAGTATCAATGTGATTATAAAGGCAAAGAGGAGTGACCCATATTAATGATTATAAGTCAACACATCAGGCCTCATATTAAGAAGGAAGGTCTTTCAATAGAAGCAGGGAAATATTTCACACTCTAAACATAGTCTACAACTAGTCTGTCATTTCTGACAACGTTTCTTCAACGTTTTACAACCATCTCTGCAGGAGGAAAAACAGGATATAACATCAGTGGGTGTAGTTCCGATTTGGAAAATGATCTTTGTTTCCCAAAATGAGCTCATGTGGAAGAGAGGGACAAGAGGGAGGGAGAAGGAGGTTACTTTGCTACAGGACACACTGCATTTTGTGCTTCCTCTGCCCTGGTTTGTTTGAAGAGGTAGAGATGGTGAAATCACACAAAAGTAACTGCATTTCTCAAGTGTTAAATTGTTTGGAGAATGCTCCACAACCTTCACATTTCCCTTTAAAAGAAAGAGGACTTGGTACTTAGGGAAAACAGGGAAATCCCACAGTTACTTTCAAATTTCTCATTCCTGTATTAGATTTAAATAGTTTGTCCTCTGTGTAAACTAGTAATGACTGCACTAATTTCCATTTAGAGATACACTAATTTAACACCCCAGTCCTCCTAATCAAACAAACTAGAACTGGTTTTACTGTAGGGAGTTTACACAGATTTCCACACAACTTTCTAACTACGTCATTTTAAATCACACTGGTAAAATGAAGCGAGAGGAAACTCCGCTCTGCACGATAAAAGTTTCAGGCGGACAGGCAGCCTCGGGTTTCGTTTCTCCTCCAGAGCAAGGTCGGGCTCCAGCCCCGCCTGAGCCGGACCCTGCGGCTCCCCGCATGCGGCTCAGCCCGCCCCCCTGTGAGGACCCGACACAGACAGGGAGGAGGACCCGATCCCGGAGGTCGCTGTGTTGGGGCGCCTACACTGAAGGCGCAGGGGGCGAAGAGAGGTGCGAGGGAAAGGGAGAAGGAAAGGTATAACGCACCCAAAGGCGCCGGGAAGGTCTCATCTACAGCACCGGGGCCAGGTCCAGCGTTGGCAGCAGGCGGAGGAGGGGGCGGGACCAGACTAGCAACGGGCTCCCCAGCACCGGGCGGGGTTTCGAGTATCGTTTCTCTTTCCTACCAGTAAGACACGTAGAGCGCTTTCTGCCTCTATCTCTGACGGCTGTTGGAGACCTGAGCCGCCTCTGCCGCAACGCTGCTCAAGGCAGAGATCTCCCCTCGCTGAGGGATGAGGGAGCTGGCTTGAGCCGCCTCACCATCATTATACATCTGCCGAGCTACGTTCGCTAACCCTTACGATTTTCTCGTGAGTCCGGCCATTAGGTGTTTTGGGATGAGGCGAGGGAAGGATTACGCTTTTCGTTTTGTTTTACAGTCTGCTTCAGGAGATGAAACTCCGAGCTGCCCGAAAAAGCGTACTCATGTA